AATATAATAAATCAAAAATATAATAAAAGAAGCAGACCCAAGAAGCATCCAGACAACCTAATTATTGCCCCCCACCCTCCCACCAGGAAAAAAAAAAAAAAAGCAGCTAGGCATAAACACTAATGAAATTTAAACCACTGCATCTGGCGGCTGTTCCCCAATTTATAAATGGGTACCACTAAGCAATTCTGTCTGCATCATTTTTAGCATTTACACCAATTCATTCAGCCATTGGCGGTGCATTTGCAACTCAACCTGGCTAAATCATCCAGAATGGAATCCTACTCAAAATTAGACCATAATGAAACAGCATCCTGCAATGGAAAGAGCACAGGCTTTAGACAGATGGGTTTTTAGGCAGGCTCTCCAAATGATTAGCTGTATAATTATAAAATAGGGATAATAGTACCCACTTGTCAGTTGTCATTGTGATTCAATGCAGTGATTTATTTGGGGAAACTGATATTTATTGAGCACCTACCATGAGTCAAGTAGCCTACCATTTAATCTTCTAGGCAACTTAATGAGATAGATATTAAAGAACCAGGCTTTGAACCCAAGTTTTAGTCCAAATTTCATACACCTCCCATACTACGTAGTAAAATGTGGGACATGATACTTAGCACAAAGCAGGCCCTCAAGAGATAGTTACTGAACAGAATAAATAGCAAGATTATAGTGGAAGTGACCAAATCATCAAGCCTATTCTTTAAAGTTTAGGACAAAATCATCTTTTATGCATTATAAGGGAAAATTGGGGGGTATCTCAACTAATAACTTAGGCACGGGACCTATACTTAAGCTATTTGATTGAATAAGTTGTTTAAATTGGGGGATCATTAACAGATGAACTACACATGCCCTAAAACATTTAAATTAAAACAAATAAATGTACATTAGTTCACTAACCTTTTGGTGTAGGGCCTAAGTCTTGTCTTGGCATGTCCTGCTGGTATTGGATATTTGTTGCATAAATCCTACTCATAATACATTACCTACAATTTCTATTTTCTTTTTCTTTAAAATGGAGCAACAAATTAAGAACACTTATGAAGTAATCTGAGTGAAAAACATTTCTAGAATTTAACAATTTTTCTAATCTTTTGCACCCAAATTAATAGCATTTTTTATTGTGGTAAAAAAAAACCAAAAACAAAAACCCACCAGGAGATCTACTCTCTTAACAAATGTGTAAGTATACATTGCGGTTTTGTTAACTATAAGCACAATGTTATACATCAGATCTCTAGGACTCTTTCATCTTGCATAACTGAAACTTTATGCCCGTTGAACAGCAACTTCCCACTTCCGGCCTCTCCCCAGCCCTTGGCAACCACCATTCTACTTTCTGCTTCTATGAGTAGGACTACTTCAGATACCTCATGTAAGTGGAATCATGCAGTATTTGTTTTTCTATGACTGGCTTATTTCACTTTGCATGATGTCTTCAAGGGTTTTGAGTGGGGGGGACGGGGTTTTTTATCTTTTTTTAATTTAAATTCAATTAATTAACATACAGTATATTATTAGTTTCAGAGGTAGAGTTCAGTGATTCATCAGTCTCTATAACACCCAGTTCTCATTACATCAAGTGCCGTCCTCAATGGCCATCACTCAGTTACCCCATTCCCCCACCGCCATCCCTCCAGCAACCCTCAGTTTGTTTCCTATGATTAAGAATCTCTTATGCATTGTTGAATTTCCTTCTTTTCTGTGGCTGAACAATATTCCATTGTAGGTGTATGCCGCATTTTATTTATCCGTCAATCTGTCAGTGGACACTTAGGTTGTTTCCACCTATTGTTGGCGATTGTGAACAATGCTACAATGAACGTGAAAATGCACTATCTGTTTGAGATCCTGATTTCAGTTCTTTTGGATAAATACCCAAAAGTGGGATTTCTGAATCATATGGTACTCTATGTTTAATTTTTTCAGGAACCTCCATACAGTTCTCCATAGCAGCTACACCATTTTACATTCCCACCAACAGTGAAAAAAAGAGTTCCAATTTCTCTATATTCTCACCAACACTGTCAGCATGTTTTTAGTAACAGCCCACTTTTCTAAAGCCTATCCAACAATATTCAACTTAAGTTTTATAGAAACAGCTCTACCTTGTTTCACATCCATATTCCGTAGGATTATATAATACTTAATTGAAAATACATAATGTCAATAGGAATTGCAACTAGCATATTCAAGTTCAGAATAAAGACAACTGATAATTTGTAACTGTACAACTCAACTGGTAGAAGCAAAGTGGTGGGAATTCTGGAGAAGAGTTAGTAGCCCAAATTTTTCATCCTGCCCTGAGTATCAGTGAATGCATTTATAGAAAGAATAGAAAGGGCTACTTATGTGGAAATGAGTGAAGAGACCTTCTACTTCTTGAAATGAAAAGGTTGGACAAGGTGACCTGTGAGATCAAAATAGGTCTTTGTGGTGGACTAAGAATCACCAAAATGGATTAGAAATTCAAAGACATTATCAGGGTCTTATGTTTAAAGATCCATTGAAAGTGTTTTTTTTTTAAAAGATTTTATTTATTTATTTGACAGAGAGATACAGCGAGAGAGGGAACACAAGCAGGGAGAGTAGGAGAGGGAGAAGCAGGCTTCCCACTGAGCAGGGAGCCCAATGCGGGGCTCAATCCCAGGACCCTGGGATCATGACCTGAGCCAAAGGCAGATGCTAACCAACTGGGCCACCCAGGTGCCCGATCCCTTGAAAGTTTTAATTGAGTATACATACTTCACACCTTGCATATGGCCCCCTCCACAGATTTTCTTTGAAGATATAGAGGAATTGGTACAGGTTTTCTTCTAATTTAAGAAGTTCACCTCTATTTTAAAGCTGATGCTTCTAAAATGCACTGTGATTAGGGTGGGTGGCTAGACCAGGCATCCAGAGACGTGGATTCAGTTGCTAACTCTCTAACTGGTGAGCAAGGAGGACCTTAGAGGATTGAACAGATGTGGACTTTGGCTCTGTCCAATCTTACAGTTTTATACTTCCGTGATCTTTAATATGTTCTCCACGCAGACATTTTCATGTGAAAATTGTCATGTTACATGGCAGTAGCTACTACCTGAATGGCTCGTCACTATTTGCAACTCTACGTTCTAGGCAATAATCAGCCTGATGTTTTTTTGTGGGTTTTTTTTTTCCCCCACCAAAAACAACTCTAGTCCTTGTAGCTGCATACCAGGCTGCTCTGTCACCTAATGTCATAGTCATCCACAGTTAATTCCATATTGCTCTAGGCTCTGCTTCCGCGGTAATTTAAAGTATTTCTGTGCCCTCACTGATGTTTGGAAATATCACACTTCAGACACTGTACCCCAGTTTGTTGAGAATCCTGCTGCTGTCTCTTCCTCATACGTGACCAGTAGGCAGAATGGTGTTTTGATGAGCATCCCTTCAGTCCTGCTTTTTCTGGTTGTTTTCAAGGACTTTATAGTTACTACTCTTTTCTTGTCTCTTGATTTCCAGGTTGGATGACAGGTACCCCAGACGAAATTACTCCAAAAGGTAGATACAATGTCAGCAATTGTCCGTGGTTTCTATGCCTGTAAAATATTAGAGAGCACTATTTTTTTTTTTAGTTATGTTTTTGTGGATGGGTTTTACTGCCACATTAAAAGATGTGTTTCCTGCCAATTTCTCTACATATGTGTCTTCTCTTTCAGGTTGGTTCTATTATTCTTAATTAATTCCTAATCAAACCTAAAAGCAGAATTCCCTGGAAGTTTTCAGTTCCATATTTCCATACATAAACTGTCCATAGGATCTATGCTGGAGATTGCTAAGGGAGCTCAGTTGTTTTTAGTTATTGAAACTGCACGGTAAAATGCTGATACCACAAAGTGACCCACTGTCTTATGTACGTACCTTCAAGGATACACAAGTCCTAGGTCACTATTGCCATGACTTCCAACATTACCCACAATCTGTTGAGTTTGAAGAATTAACCCAAATTTTGAAATGCATGATCCAACTGATATAAACTGATGGGACCTAGATGAGTATGAAGATACTCAAAAATGTTTGCATTAAAGGAGACGTGTCAGGAAACCCATTTATGCTTCTTCCACAATGGCATATGGGTCAAGCAATTCAAAGGAATCAATCAACCTTAGTATATATGTGACTTTTTTAAGGTCAACATGGGCATAGATCAACCATAGTACATAGGTGACTTTTTAAGGTCAACTTCTTCTTACTTAATGATCCTCTTGACCTTGCCTTGTGAATTTTCATGAAATGGGTAAGTTTAACTCTTGCTTGTAGGTTTAGATCTGCTCCAGGTTTTGAAGCCAATACTATTACTTTTCAGAGGAAAGATTACGCGTTTATTTTAGTAGCCTAGAAGACTCAGAATATGCATTCCCTCTCTCCCAGTAATTACACTTCTAAGTTTCTTTTTTCTTTCTTTGAAAGATTTAGAGTAGCTTTCCTGGAACACTGTTAATGTCATTCTCTTAAAAGCATCTTGTCTATCAGACTTGGATGAATCTGTTGCAAAAACTAAACCCACACAAACACAGCAAATAAACACACTGTATCAGCTTTTCGAGTAATTTATGGAGTTGTAAGACTATGCAGATAAAAGTTTTTGATTGTTACATTTAGATCTGTTGCAGTTTGATTTATTGGAAATTCCATGAATTGGATTCTACAGTGTATCTTCACTTATCTGAAAAAAATATATATAAGGCTTTATTTAAAAAAAAAAAATCTCTCCTAGAAATTAGAACACATTCCTGGGACTATAAGTAGTACTTAGATGTGCAAAACACTGTTGGAGAAACAAATTCGTTAATATGAAATCACATTCTGAATGTCCAGGATAGATTGTAGAAGATATATAGATATATAGATATATATAGATAGATAGATATACTGTCCAACAGTGTTTTGCACATCTAAGTATTACTTATAGTCCCAGGAATGTATTCTAATTTCTAGCAGAGATTTTTTTTTTTTTTTTAAATAAAGCCTTGCTAATATTCACATTTATAGCCGCTTCAGCTTGGTTGATAATGCTGTTTCCTAAAAGATGGTTCATTTTAACAGTGCTTTTTAAGGAAGAAATCCTAGTTTAATAATCTGAGATTGTGTTTTTTTCTCACAGAACTCATGTGCATTTAGTTTGTATCATGATCAGTGTATCGATTTGGTCCATCCACAGCTTTCTTTGTTGGGCAACAGTCGTTGTAACGAACGTCAGATATGGCATGATATTTCAAGGAAGTTTAACTTGAGCAATTACTGATTTCATCCAGACTCCAGAGCCTCTGTTTGTCAAGAAGGTAATATTTTTTAAAGGATAAAATGCCTTTATAATCTATAATTATTTTCTTATCCCTTACATTCTTATGGTCTCCTGATTAGCCGGCACTTGGTGCTTAACTTTACATTTTCGCTCTGCAGGGTCCTTTTAGACATTATTGCAAAGACAAATCAAAAATCAAAGTGAATTCTTAGGATTATACTTGAAGCCATAGAGGTGCACTTGCTGCCGCGGCAGCCAAACATTGTGCTGCGGAACTAGCTCCCAGCTTGGTGCCCAGTCCCTGCTGAGAAGGCAATGGAGGGGAACTGGCAGAGTTTTACTACATCTGCTCCCTGCTGCTAATGAGCTTGAACCTGTTTCATTCTTATTATGCTTACTGTTTAGATATTTTGCTTGCAAAAATTAATTCTTTTGCTGGGAGAACACATGAAAGAAGAGATGATTTGTAAAGCCGGGCTGTTTAAAAATTAAAAGGCATCAGCAAGGGAGATGAAAGGCTATAATGAGCGATATGGTTACTTAATATCAATTCAAGGGCAGAAGCTCAGGTGGTAAGGCTGGAGTTGTTTCTCAGCTTCAGTTCTTTGTGGGCGACAGCTTCCGGGAGGCACAGTCTCTGTTTTGCATTGGGCATCTGCACCAATATCCTCTATATTTATCAAAGAGACGTAACAGTATTTTTTCCTTTGAAAGCTTCCCTGGTTCTCTAAGAGGTGCCCAAGTTTTCGTGATGTGTAGCCTCTGAAAACAATCAGGTTTCAGCAGCTGCGTTTTATGATCACCAAGAACTAATATACTACCTATTCCCAACTGCTTATAACCTACTCCTGATCGCCTAAACAGGAGGAACAAGAAGAACTCAAAGAGTAAATAGGCCCTGAGATGATTCTTAATGAAATAATAATGATGCATTTGGGTAGCCATAGAATCTTGCTATTTAAATTACTTTCATACGTTCCTTTGTTCCTCACCTTAACTTTCGAAGATAATCATACAGGTATTGTCCATTTCATAGATGTGAGAATGGAAATTTGCAAATGCATGTCATTATCATAACCGGATGAAAACTGTCCATGGGTCAATATAAATCAGTGCACATCCTATTGATGGGGAATGGGATCCTCATCTGTAGATTTGCAGAATCATCCTCACCACTCTCATTGTCGTCTTTGTCAGGATAATAAGCCCACAAAGCTATTGACTTCTTGAATAAGAGCCAAATGTATTAGATTTTCAGCCAAAATTGCACGTTACTTTTGGTAATGATATTGTTTGAAACTTTCTGCAAAGAAAAGCAGGTTACTCTACTATAGCAATTCTCAAGCTTTTTACTCTTGAAATTGAGAAAAAAAAATGTTTGCAGATGTCCAGTTTTGGGTCTGCATTATTTTTAGTATAACATTACTTGAACCTATGAAACTACCCACGAACTCCTTTACCTATGGTTTTTATCAATTATACAACCAAAACAAATGTAAAGGTTAAATAAAAATAAACCTACAAAGCCAATACAACTATAATTGAAAGCATCACTTTATTGTGACACATAACTGTAAATTCAGTCACAAGTATATACATCTTTATTTAGAAGAGAGTCGTTTTAATAATCCTAATGTTGATTAACAAATATTATGAAATAAAAATATCCTATATCTTATTATATATTTACTTCTTTGCATTGCTAATGAGCTACTACAAAATAATACTTGAGAAGTAGGACTCGTGTAATCTGTCTCCTAAACAAATAAATTCTGGCTCCTAGGGTATGACTCCTTTTCTGGTTGGTGTAGCTATACTGCAATTTGACATGGATTCTCTCTATATGAACCATTGTAAAACCTTCTTTTGAGCAGAATGTCCTATCATTTGGCCTCTACTTGGCACAAGGGCATCATTTATACGTTAAGTCCATCTAAGTTCTCTCCCTGTTAGTGTAAGACAGTTAAAGTAGTACATTACTCCACTGCAATATAATTTCCTGATGTCAAATCATAATCTCAATTTATTACATAAGTTAAGAAACTCAAGTCTTACTCTATTAAAATATCTTCAATGGTGAATTTTTACTACAAAGCCAAGTTTTGTCTTTAGAGCTGACAAAAGACTCCGAGGGCAGTAATAGTGAATGCAAGATCAACTGCAGTATCTAGCGTCCAGGTTTGCAGGCGTTGGTGCCACATGAGTGCTCTAACCAGTGGGTGCACTACAGGATCACGGGCATCAACCCAATGTCTACATGCTCATAAATACCGGTGGCAGGACCCAAATCAAAGGTGATCATCTAAACAAATCTAAAAATGTTTTGTATTATTCTCATGATGACCTTGAGGTAGGAATTAGTGTTATCCCATTTTACAGAATAGGACACTAGGAATTAAATGCCTGCCCTAAGATCACACAGCCAATAAGTGGTGGAGCCAGGAGTCAACCCTAGTTGTCTGGCTAGTATCAGTGATCTCAATCACTGGAAGTGACAATTGGGAGAACAGTAAGGTCAACACAACTCCATTCATTAGTTGCTTAAATGCATATGCTTATTTTGCTAGATTCCCTTTTTCAATGGAAAATATATAGGAATGGAATTTTTAAAATTACTCTCATTGCCTATTTTATTGTAGGCACAAGTTATATATATATATTAAAATTTATTACTAAGATATTGATTTGAAAGGATAAAATTGTTTCAAGAAAAACTATAAGCAAATTGATTATTTGACTAATCAGGCATTATAAAACTCATTAAGCAAAAACATATATATTGTGTGTGTGTGTATTCTAAGACCAAGTGTCCTATTTCAGAAGGTAACCAGAAACTGAAAGGAGGCTCTGAGGTTTCTTATAATCATTGTAAATTAGAGGAGTTTCCTTTTGAATATATTTTAAAGTCTTCCTCACAACTACCACTTTTTAAATTCATTCATTCACTGACTCATTTATTCACTCATGTGACATCAATTTATTTATTTATTTTTTTTTTTAAAGATTTTTATTTATTTATTTGACAGAGAGAGAGACAGCGAGAGAGGAACACAAGCAGGGGGAGTGGGAGAGGGAGAATCAGAGAGGGAACACAAGCAGCAGGGAGTGGAGGGAGAAGCAGACTTCCCACCGAGCAGGGAGCCCCATGCGGCTCCATCCCAGGACCTGAGTCGAAGGCAGACACTTAATGACTAAACCACCCAGGCGCCCCTGACATCAATTTATTTTTTAAATAACTATTTTCTGATTATAATAGTAATATACATTACAATAATAATATAACAATTACAATAGCAATATACATTACATTCATTACAGAAATTTGGAAAATGTATTACAATATGAAGAAGGGGATGAAAATCCCCTTCTTCTCTCTCTACCAAAAGCTAAGGACTGGCTAATATTTTGGTACATTTCTTTTTAAAGAAATATCCCAGATGTGGTCAGGACCCTTAGGCAGCCTTGCTATTTGCCCCTGAGCAGAGTCAACACTTGGTCACCTCCCCTCAAAGCAAACCTACCTACCTTCACAGGTAAGAGGAAAAACAAGATTTTTCTGAAGTTTTCAAGAGGAGGCAAAGGCAAAGGATACAATACATATTGCATAGAAAAACTGAATAAAAAATCTCCATTAGACATCTGGGTTCTTTGCCAAGCTTCTAATTCCTATTAACTGCCAACTACCTCAACTCCTTGTGCATCACCAGCCCTGCTGCACAGGGCCGGCCCTGTCTTCGGCTCTGGCCTGTCTTCTCTCTGGGTCCTCACCTGGAGCTCTTCACTCAGTAAATAAAGGACCCATCCTAGCATCCTCTATCTTTATAAGCCAGCAGGGGTTTACAAGAAACATGTGGGGTTTTTTCCTTAGATAATTTTTTCCTGTCTCATTCAGTTATGTATGCATGTATATGTATGTATTTATATGCACACACATATTACATATGCACTTTATTAATATACCTACTAGTCTTTGAACTCTTTTTCTCCCACAAAATATATTTTATTTTCCCTTAAATGTTTAAAACACAGTTTTTCATAGTTGTGTAATATTTCATTATGTGATATACTATAATGTGTTTGACTAATAATCTCTTATTGGATATTTTGATTGTTAGCAGTTTTTGCTATTATATATAACACTATGGTAAACATCCTGTATAGCTCCAGTTATTTTCTTTGTGAACATCTCTAATTATTTTCTTAGAATAAATTTCTACACTTAGAATTTCAGGGTCAAGTTGAATGAACGTTTTGGAATTTGATATAAATTGCCCTTCAGGAAAGTGTTAGCATGAATACTCCATTGACCACTTCTTGGGTACCAGGCTCTATGCTAGCTGCTGAGGATTCAAAAATCTGTAAGATACTAAAGAGTTTATAGTTAGGTATTTGCTTTAATTAGATGGTAGGCCCTTGCTGCTTTCCCTATAAAGTATATTTAAATTCACAGTCACTGGTATGGTTGAGAAGTTGCTAGCTCTGACCTGAATTTATTTTTTAAATATATGTTACCAAAAGAAGAAAAAAAAGCCTTTCTAAGTTTTGAAGCCAACTAAAAACTTCCATGTAAAATATTTGTCAGCATATTAAACTGTTGGCATATTCATTAGTTCCCGTTTTACACCCAAAATGTGTTTTTTAAGAAAAAGATAATTGCTTCATATTTATGGATTGAAAGTTATTTTAATTTGGTCTTGAAGAGGAAACTGCTGTTTTGTTCATATAAATGTTATATATCAAAACCACCATTTCAAAACTTGATTACAAGTGAACGTCTGTTATACCCATGACTTTGAAGTCTCAGCAGAAAGCACTTAACACTTCTTTTCTCCTTCTGTCTGGCCGCAGTCAACATTTACAGGCCATTTTCAGAATTACCAGAATGTAAAGGATATGAGGTGGGGTGGATGGAAATGCATTAACCTTCTGGGAAAGGCTGAATGACAGTAATGTCCCAGATTAGTAGACTAGGAACCTAAGTTGGCAAATACAAATACATCCAACCCTATGAACAGAACATGAAGCCAAATAGCCCTCATCACCACCATCGTTAGGCATAGTCACATACTATATGTTGTTGTCTGTAATCGTGTGTCTTACAAATACAGGAGCTACTTTTACATTTCACATGTCACCTGAAGAACATTATGGCTTGAACTTGGTAGTTGAAACAGTCCACTGTTTGCAATTAAGGCTTCTAAACAATCCAAATGACAACAACCTTCTTAAAAGACCTTAAGACCATTGAATGACGTATGATAAAGGATTCTGAAAGGCTGGGGAAGGTGGATCGTGGCAATGATAGGCCTAGCAATGGCCAAGCTGGTAGATGCCCCTCCCCTTCCTTTATTTTCCATTTTAGATGACTAAGTGGTCCTCATTTCTCCAAAGGTGACAGCACTTCTCTTAGGCCTACATAGGAGACAGTTATTTTTAATATGCCTAAGACGCGTAGTGGTAAGAGTATGAATAAACTCAGATTAAATTTCAACAGCTCTATCACGATGATTATACACAATACCTGACATTTTGAAAGGGCTTACCAAACTAAAAAAAAAAAAAAAAGTGTGGGTGCTGTGTGTACAGTAGTTTACACATAAGGATTATCATTTGCTTTCTGGAAATGAACTCCATCTTGGCCTTAAATCCTTATATTTCTACACGGAGTTGAAATGCCAGTTGAAAGCATTCAGAAATTTAAAGTAACTGATTTAACAACCTCAGGCAAAGAGAACATGTCTGAAAGTTTGTCTCAATGTTTGACTTGACCTACAAGAGTTTCTCTGGGACTTATTTTCTAAACAGTACCCTGGCACCTTGGGCCAGTAAAATGGCCTTTAAGCTTGAATGAACAGGGTATTTTTTTTCCTCTAGTGCAAAGCTTCACTATTTCATCTTTTCAAACTCTTTTACTGCACTCAGTAAGGAATTATATTGACAAGGGTAGAATTTATCTCCTAGAGGAGAATACTATGCTTCTGTTAAGTGCTAATATAACATTTATGTGTTGGTGCCTTAATAACAGCCCCAGCTTACCTAATGAAAGTTGAAAGCAAACAGTACTCTCTGAGATTTTATTATGACTGAAGTGACTGCAATTTGAGGCAAATTATCCCTATTTTTGTTCCTATATCAAAAACAGAGATGCTAAAGCAATTGCTACATGTTTGGTATGGAATTAGGTTCCACTCTCATTAATCTACAAGGAAGAGCATTTTTCATGTAAACAGCTCACGAGGGTCAGAGAGAAGAGCTGTTTCTGTGAAAAATGCTTGTCAATAACTTTGTGAGTGAATTTTGAAATAAAGTGCCTGTAACCTGTCATTATTCCTTCCTCTTAAAGTCGAGAGTGAGTGGATGAAAATTGAGTATGTGAATTGAAAGCAGGTTGAGTGTTATGGCCTTATCGACTTCAGGTAAAATGACTGTTTTAACTTGTTATTATTTTTCCATTCAGAGGTCAGGCAATGTACAGTATTACCAACATAGACTGCAGTGTAAGCGAATTGGTATACAAAAAAGCTATTACCCACACTCACAAAGCAGAAGTCTAAGTCACTAATATCAAGTGGACTCGTGATCTCTACAAAAACGAAACAAGCAACTGTTTGGAAGAATAGCATAGGCATATAAATATAAAGCACCTAGAAGGCAGAAAATATAAACCTGTTTAAATAAAGGTGCATATGGGGCGCCTGGGTGGCTCAGTTGTTAAGCATCTGCCTTCGGCTCAGGTCATGATCCCGGGGTCCTGGGATCAAGCCCCGCATCGGCTCCCTGCTCTGCGGGAAGCCTGCTTCTCCCTCTCCCGCTCCCCCTGCTTGTGTTCCCTCTCTCGCTGTGTGTCTCTATGCCAAATAAATAAAATCTTTAAATAAATAAATAAATAAATAAATAAAGATGCATATGTTTAGAAGGTGCATATGAAGATAAGAAATATGCATGTTAGTGACCATTTTTAAAAATCACATATTAATCTTATTTGCTTTGCAAAGGAATTATGGGACCTGAATACTAAATGTTAGATACTCCAGCTCTACATGTCACCTTAAATTTTTTCCTGCCCAAGATCATCTTAAAAGTAATTAGCTTCTGATTTTTCAAGTCCATCCAATGTATTTTTTTTTTTTAAGATTTTATTTATGTGACAGAGAGAGACACAGCGAGAGAGGGAACACAAGCAGGGGGAGTGGGAGAGGGAGAAGCAGGCTTCCCGCCGAGCAGGGAGCCCGATGCGGGGCTCGACCCCAGAACCCTGGGATCATGACCTGAGCCGAAGGCAGATGCTTAACGACTGAGCCACCCAGGTGCCCCCCATCCAATGTATTCTTATCAAAAGCAAAACACTGCTGTGGTCTCTCTTTTCACTTTAGAAAAAGAAAACGAGGCTTCAAAACATCAAAAACCCTTTTCTTGTCTTCTAGATTTTTATTTCTAATTCTGAAGGACAGCTTAAGAGTTTAGTGTGGCTGCTTTAGGTTTGCAAGAAAAATATCTTTTCACCTCAGGCCCATTGGAAGCATATATTTAATACTATTGTTCAAACAGTTGATTCTTCTCTTTCAGAAGTCTAGTGTTTTTATCTTTGATATTGATTCTCATAGACTCCGTTATACACTCTGTTGGTCAGAAAATTAACAGTTTGGCCTAGATATTAAAAGAGGTTATAGGACTCTGGCTAAAAGCAAGTTAGGGGGAGAAAGGGTTATATATAATTTTGAAGACATGTTCCTATGTCTTTCATCAAATCCCCATGTCATGTAAAAAGGTTTGGGTTCTTTTACTTCCAAACAGTTATTTTGGCTTCAAAATAACTATAATGACCTAAGATAAAAGAAATATATTGGCATTTCTTTGCTTCACATTTGCTAGTCTGTCTTCAAACATTTACTGATTGGACACTGCCAATCATAATAATACAAAAACTTCAGGGGAGCCCTTCTTCATCTAGTGAGGAAGAAAATCAGGTAGATAGTGAGTTAAGTCACCATGCTAATTCTGGGAGAATGAAAGCTCCGTGGGGGCAAAGATCTTTATCTGTTTGTGATCATCAACACCGCCTACCTCTGAAACTACTACCGGGCATACAGGGGACACCTGACAGATATTTGTTGGATGTTGAATGTATGTAATTGGGGCACCCACAGTGCATTTAAGAGACTGCGGGAAATCCAGGGAAGACTTTCCCAGCGAAAGATAGGTCTAAACTCAGGAACAATGAAGCCAGACAGAGTTGGGACAAGTCCTTCTGTATCAAGGGAGTGGACAGTACCAAAAATGAAGTTGGAATCGAGAGTTGGATGAACAGCTCTTAATTGTCCATGGCCCCATCTATGAGTGAGGGGTGGGCATGTACAGTTGAGTGAGATAAATAGAGACCAGATCCTGAAGGGCCTTGAAAGCCACACTAAGGAACTTGAATGTTAGATCAAAAACCACTGAGTGATATTAAGCATGCAGGGGCTTAAAAAAAAAATAAGGCAGATATATTTTAGAAAAAATTACATTGGCTGAAGTGTGGCAGATGGATTGAAGAAGACTGGGAACAGGTAGGGAGACGCATTAGGAGGCTTCACAGAAATATAAGCAACATAAATGACAGTGGCCTAAATTAAGGTAAACGTAAAGAGACAGAATGATTGGACATATTTAAGTGCTTTTAAGGGGCTGGAGATGACAAGACTCAGTGGCTGCTTGGAATGAGATTGGGAGAGGCTGCTAAGGAAGACGGAGAGACAAGGACGAGCGGCAGTTCTCCAGCCTTGGGAACTGAGTGGACAGATACCATTTCCCAAAATGAGGAAGAGGTGTTGGGTAGGGAAAGGGGCTGGTTTATTTTTGGCTATGCTGAGTTGTTTAAAGCATCATGTCGTCAGAGCCCAGGATGTTTTCCTGTCCCCTCCTTCTTGTAGTCTCAGCCTCGATTTACACAAATCCATTACAAATGCATGAAACACATCCAAGTACCTATCATAGTAGTTATGAGCATACTTTTCTTACATACACAACAAATTGCATTTTTCAATATAAAAATATTCTTCTTTCCTCATAAAAGTCTTTATGAAATGTAAAGGTATACAAAAAGCAAACTGTTTCTAAGAGTTAAGTTATTGTCATGACCCTGAATTGTGACTAGTCAGTGAAAAGCATGACACCACACACTAAGTCACCACAGATGATATGCTGTGCCCTTATGAGTTAAGTATGAGTATATCTGCACAGATAAATACACTTCAGTATTTTTGCATTTACAGTTGGATGACATACTAAAGGAATATGTTGAATTGAATGTATAAGCCCACACTTGTTTTTAAATGTAATATAATTTTTTTCTCTTTTTTCTCTTGGTTCTGCCAAACACATTAAAGTGAAGATACAAAAGCTATTCAGAATGCAAACATACATAATAAGGCTTATAATTTATATTGGTGATTATGGGCAACACCTATTAATTAATTAATTAGTCAAGAGCTAGTAAACTGAAACACCTTGTATATCCTCTGTATTTTAATCTATTCCCATTTCTTACATATTTATTTAATTTGCTAAAAATTTACTTAGGTGTGTATACAGACACCTAATAAGGTTTCTGAAATACTAGCAGATCCAGTCCAACATCAACATCCTGCTTGTTTTCTTCTACTCCAGGAAGAACACGAGTGTCATGGCAATGCCGATGACACGGGTCATATCCTGGTGGTCGTGGTAACTCTCCATCTTCCCAGAGAGGCTGTGACTGAGTGGCACAGTTTGCATTATTGCAGGGGCCAGCGAACTACTTAGAAGGAAGCACTCTACTTTGAGTGAAGATATTTGAGGGCTTTCAAGTTGAATGTGAAGCTGTGGCACCCAGTTCTGCATCCAGGACACCGAAGTCCATTTCCTTAAAATGGACATCACCTTCTACTTCCTCACCTGATTTAAACAGGATTTTAGAAGACCCGATGACTGTGTTTCCACAAGCAAGAAGACTCTGAAGACAGCCAAGCCGCACCACTGCGTTTTAGAAGATTCTACAAAAAGACAGCCTTCATGACGAAGTACCAGAGGCAGGTAAGAGAGCTAATAGAAAGCTGAAAGGAAGTACACACTGTGGGATCCCATCATCGATGGCTGTCAGAGAGCGAGGGAGAAGGACCTGAGCAGTGTGGGAGGCTTGGCCCCCAGTCCAGTCAGTGAGAGAGTGGGGGGTGGGAGTCCACGATTTCCTCTGCTCATCTCACTTCTCTTACACCTTTCATGTGAACCCTTCACTACCCAGTAAGTGATTAAAGTGTTTAAAGGAATTTACTCTTTTCGACTCTATAACCCTCTATTGTATTCCAAACCATGTTGTATACATGATATACAGACATATTAGTGCAGAGGTTTGTGTACACAGTGCCATGAACACTGCACTTTAGAGATGACTTTACAGTGTGTAGATCAACCCAAAGTAAATCTGACTCCACGGTACACACACATAGCAGAGAGCCAAAATCTCACCCCCAAACCAGCTCTGACTCAAACGGGAGCTCGACTCCTCATGTTCCCAAAGCATTTTACTAAAAGGGCTTTGACCCAGCCTCCCAAGAGAGAAATGCAGCAATGCACACGTGGTATCTTTCACTTCGTGGCTGGCTACCAATGCAAGGGGGTTGAACCAAAAGGCACATTTCATTCTCCTGAAGCAAGTCATGCGCGAGAGTCCAAACTCAAAGCCTAGCAACTGGCTCGTTTCCAGTTTCCCGCAACGGGGAGGTCTCAGTCTTTCCAGGCAGATGGAAGTTTTGGTTTTCATTGGACCAGCCTCATGTAAATAAGACTGACTGAATTTGATTCAGAACAATCAATCCCAATTTGATGTACTATTCCTTTATCGTATTAGCCTAAATTGTGTACAAAGCCTCTCGGTGGGTTTTAAAACGCAGCAGTACCTCGGGCCCTGCTATAGGTGTATTTTAATTCAATATTTGCAAATTGAATTGTGCTTTGAACATTTTATGGAAGTGAGCTTTTAAAATGCATCATTTCCTATATCAGATATTTCTAAAGTAAAGTGAATAACTACCTGCTCATTTATCTTTTGTTTAAATACAAATTTTAATACACTGGATCTGTCTAAAGCCAGAACCTTTCCGTAGCTCACTTCTTCTCTTTGGGTCTGTTGGTGATTGGTTTTTTTGCAGACTAAACAGAATTATGCCAACCCTGTGGTGCTATTTTCTTTATGCAGCGGGGAAGACAGCAAGTCACAGGTGGTGCTGGTCACCATCCCATGACTGGTCCCCTGGTCCCTGAGTGAATAGTTAGGTATAGAATCCTTGTTATCTGAGTTCTGGTTTAATGTCCTTTTCACTGTTACAGTGTCTGCACAAGAAGAAAAGGAAAATAGGTATATGGAAAATAGAGAAGTGGCTACTTTTACACATGTCAGTAGGAGGCCTATCCATTGGCTTTGAAATTGGCTCATAAAGGGAAAAACAGAGACTGTACTAATAAACTCAGTGCCTGATGAGCATAACTAAATCTTTTTGCAGCCTTGGGATTTTTCTATATTTTAATCCTTTGTGAAATAAAATACACCATAATGGCCATAACATACCACCTTGTGACAACCTTACTTTTGAGAAAAAACTACGTATGTCTTTATAAAAATAATTCTGGAATATCTCTTTGTACCTGTATATTCGTATTAAAGGTCAGGGTCTATACGTTCACATTTTTATGAATATGAATATGAAATATTAATTGATCTGTATTCATTTAATGATGTAAAAGATGATGCTCTAAGATCCCCACTTTTTTCCCCACTTAACCTGAAGCAATACTAGAAGGAAATTCGACATGACATTCTTTAGTATATTTAAAACATAAAATAAAGAAGGCAATGAAAATGTAGCAAAGAATAAACTCCTTTCATTTAGGAAGGAAGGAATAAACATAGAGCCTGACAGAATCTGGTGGTTGTTCTACGAGGACTAGTTTTAGGAAAAAAAAAATCAACCTGGGGGCGCCTGGGTGGCTCAGTTGGTTAAGCGACTGCCTTCAGCTCAGGTCATGATCCTGGAGTCCCGGGATCGAGTCCCGCATCGGGCTCCCTGCTCAGCAGGGAGTCTGCTTCTCCTCTGACCCTCCCCCCACTCATGTGCTCTCTCTCTCTCTCTCTCAAATAAATAAATCTTTAAAAAAAAAATCAACCTGGTAAAATGTATTTACTTTTTGCAGCATGCCTACTTGATTGCTAACATTCCACAATTTCATGATATTCTTTGAATAAATTATACTCATTCTGTTTGAAAAATAAATGTAACATGTATTTAAATAGTGCAGTTTTGTGAGGGAGAAGAACCGTGCCCATGTGTGTTAAGTTAATGGCACTGGGTGCAGAATAAGTCATCATGGTTTTTATTTATTCATTCATCCTTAGATCCTTTTAAAAGTCTCTCAGGCCCTAATGACCATCATCATTATCATCAGTAAAAACTGCTTTCTGGTGAAAAAGCAATAGGCATTAAATTTAGAGGCAGCATTAAATTATCAGTAAAGAGGACCTGAAATAGTACTACATGCACATTCCTGGACACAGATGCCAGAAGTTCATATAGTGCCAGTTAGGTGATCTTCTTCATGAAGTTTGTGACTGAGATGTACTCTTCCCCTTTACAAGGCAACATCATTTAGCTCAGGAGAAAATAAAGTATAGGCCAGTGTTCACGCTCTGGTATTAAACATTGAAAGTCAAAGATATCAGTCAGAAGAAGGTTCTCAATTATAAATAAAATTTTAAGAATTATCAGTATCAAACCTTTATTCCAAGGGACGTGTGGGTGGCTCCGTGGTTAAGCGTCTGCCTCCGGCTCAGGTCATGATCCCAGGGTCCTGGGATTGAGCCCCACGTCGGGCTCCCTGCTCGGCGGGGAGTCTGCTTCTCCCTCTGCGTGACGCTTCCCCGGCTTGTGCGCTCTCTCTCTCTCTCTCTCTCTCTGACTCTGACAAATAAATAAAAAAAATATTTTTTTAAAAAACTTTATTCCAAGCATTTCTCTTACCTCAGAATTCCTTGCAGGTAAAAAATAAAGACTGTCCAGTGAGTGGAAAAAATATCAGTGAGAAATGCTTTGAAGTTAACCCTATGAAATCCTGTCTCCTAGCTATTTTATAAATATCCCATTATCACTCAGCAAACACAGCAGAGGCTTTAACTTCTCTGCATCACCTCCAGGAACAGAATTAGAACTAGCTTCGCAAGGCCAAGTTCCACCCCTCTGGGAATAAACGTAGTGTGGCAGCTGGAAGTACGAGAGAGGTAGTACCTTGTGACCCATTCGAAGGGTCCGTACACCTGGTGGTTCCCATCTCCTTCCCTGAGCCACGGTTCCCTTACAGTCTGGACAGTTGGTACAGTTGGGGAGTTACCAGGAAGCAAGCAGAACAGGCAAGGTGACTTGCTTTCTCTGGGGAAACACTGTCGGTTAGTGCAAAGTGTTCAGAATCCTTGTCTGCCACAAATGATCCATTCCCTTAAACTCTCACAGCTTAGGAGCCACCAGATTTCTGATTTTGAAGCCATTGGTCAGGTATTCGAACTTCTTGCTTTGTAAAAACAAGAACAACAGTCATAAAATCCCATTGTAGAACAGAAGGAGTACCATAAAATGTAGCTTTAAGAGCAGGCTGCTGTTGACAAACTTCCCAATTCTGTGAATGGGGTTCTTTTTTAATGTGGTCAGACTTCTCTTTCTCAAGAATGACCTCTGTTTTTTTAGAACAACTGGCAATTTCTTCAAAGCTTCAGTGTCCTTTTCTGTAAAAGGGAAATGCTAACTAGCCTTGTCCACATAGAGGGTGCCGCTGGTGCTCATTCGAGACAATGTATGTGAAAGTCCTTTTGTTCATTGTCAAGTATTGTACCAACGCAAGGTGTTGCTCTTGGGTTTGCTGTTATTCTTCTGAGGCCCCTAGTGGCTTTAAAAAGGGGAGCAGTGAGGCCTCATCTCTATCACACCCTGTAATAAATAGACTTTTGTTTGCCCCACAATTTAAAAGCCAAGTTTAAAGATATGTCTAGTTTTGGTGTTGATCTTTATAAATAGATTTCCCTAAGGCAGGCATAGACCAAAATAGGAAGGGAATTCACTTCTATGGTCACTCTTCACTCTTCCGCCTCCTTAGTACTTCTAAAACAACAGAAAACATTTTTTTCCCTGATCAGAATCTCCCTTCTATTGCCTTTTGCAAAATGCTTATTTCCCTTGAGTTCCTCTTCCCTGATGCTTGAGTGACAGGATTTTCAACCTGCAGGATGCTCCCTCCCTTCACAGAGCAGGTTGACCAGTTCCTCCTACAGCTGGCAGACTTGTGATGAGGTCCCCTTAGGAAAAAGAGTTCTACATCTTGACACTTTTCAATATTCTTTTTGTTGTGATTCTTAGCAACAGAATCTAAGCAGTACTTTTTTTTTTTTAACAACTGTGAACAAGGTGTAGGTGGGGTTTCTTTCTGCATTCTTCTCTTGCACTGCGGCATTTTCATCATCTTGTGTGTGTGTGTGTGTGTTTGGTTGGTTGGGGTTCTTTTGGTACTAACCCCCAGGAATGAACCATTGTCATGTTTCTAACTCTTATAAAATGGTAATGGAGGCCGAAGTGAGATGTTGTATTTCTGAGATTAATGGTTTTGAACTGGAAAGATCGTTCTTAATTATTGGTTTCCAAAGTGAAATAATGCTCTGCATTTTTATCAATTTTAGCATGTATATTAAGAAGCCCAGTATATAGAAGTTCTCATAATGATGTTTTGATAATAATCTGATTGTTTTTGTTACTACAAGACTGCAAATTATTTGAGATGAGACGTATAATAGTTGAACTTTGTAGACACAGAGTTGTACTGATCTGTGGGGGAGTTTCTGGACAATTCAAAGCTTTCCAAATCTTGTATACTCTACAGAGTTCTGAAGTGAAGTTGCAGTCCTGAGATTTAGGTTGTTCAGAATTATAGACTAAGATTAGCTAGCTAAGTAGACTCAGGTCTTCTAATTACTGATCACAGTGACTTAACTAGACATGTTTAAGCTAATTAAAGGTTTAAGCACTGTTTGTAGTTAAAATAACTTCTGGGCTCTGCATTTGCTCTGTTTCACTGTTCAGGAGCAAAAGCTTCTACTCCTCAAAACAGACTAAGTTGAGTGCTGGCAAATGCAATTTCACAACATCTACCAGTATATTTACACAGAACGGTAATTAATTATGTAGAAGAATTTGAGCTTCAATGTCTGTAGTTATGAAGCTTGGAATGATAAAAATCAGGAAGTCTTTATTGTTACTGATATACTTGAAGGCAAGTATCCTGCCCCCCTTGGCAAACTTTTATATGCTTTTTTTTTTAATCCTTTTTCGTAAAATTAATTTTAGTTTCCTACAAGTAAATTAAAGGGTGTTTTCTGCCAGAGTGACCATATAATATGAGGCATTATTTCAGCTGCACAAAACTGAGAATTCAATTTTATAAATATTTATTGAGGTACAAAGATTCGTAAGACAAAATCCCTGCCCACTAACAGTATGTCTTAGAATAACGAGGGGTATGTAATGAAGGGGTTAGACTGAGGGCTCAAGTCAGTTTCTGTGGCTTTATTTGGGTGATCCTAATAATCCTAAATATTGATCCGGAAGAAGGCCTGTAGTGCATTTCTGTATCACCCATTCTTTTACCCATAGTTGGGATAGACCCCACTTAGGAGAAAATCTTATGTATGTAAACTTACCAAACAGGTAAATTGGTGGAAAGGGATAGACTTATTCCACCATAATGGGGAGGGGGAACAGGCTCTTTTCTAAAATATTCATTGTTAAGGTCATTTAAATAGCAAATGCCTATAGTGACACTACCATAGAATTAATTTTGCAACAATTCAATTCAATTCAGTTTTCCAAAAGTGATAGCCCATAGACCAAAGCCTAGGATGGTGATGGCTACAGAGTGAACATTTTGTAATAAGAGAACACCTTTCAAAGGTTGACATATTTGGTTGACATTATTAGCTGTTAAACTGACAATACACTTGATCGCCTCAGCCAGGGCCAAAGGATGGATGAGAGGCACAGGGTGAAAATACGGCATATGACCCTTCTAAAATTTGGCTTTTCTCCCTGCCCACAAAAATACTACATTATGATTGAAAACAGAATACAGGCAATGAACCATTTTTACACCAAACTGTTAATTTAAGATGAATACGTGAAAAAAAAAACAAAAAACTGGGAAACAGTTGCTGACGGCATAGAGGAGGAAATTTCACTGCTGATTCTTACAGTTTTTTGTTAAGAAAGCAATGATTTTGCCAAGTTTCAGAGTTCGGGCATCAGAGCTCTGCTGCTGTTCCAAAAAACAAAAATAAATAATAACTAGTTAAATTAGTGTTTGGGGAAATGAATTAGATTGTAATGTATGCAAGCAATTAAGCAACACTGAACCTGATTCACTGTGATGTCGAAAATGGCATTTTAAAAAATGAAAGTAGCTAAATTTGGCCCTGATAAAATATATAGCAGCAATGGGTTAGGAATTTTGCAGTTTTGCCCAAAGAGTCCAATCAAACAACCCATATATTAGGTGGCTGTTAACATGCTGGCAGCTGAATTTTTTACATCCGTTTCCAAGGTTGCACAGTAATTACATCTACTGTGAGTCATTTTTGCAGCATATTTTATAAAACTTTTACAGGTTTGCCGGGAAGGGATTATTCAAAGTCACCTTTTATAGATTCCGCCGTGAATATTAGACAGTTCTTTGAAAATGTTAGTGTTTACCACTTACATTGCTTCTGGTTTAAGCGTAGTTGGCATTTGAGGGTTTAGTATAGTATATGAGTGGAGCTTCCTTTTCTGTGTAGACCTTCTGTTCCCTAGCATTGCTAGTTTATGTTCCCGCTGAGCTGCTGCCAGAACAAAATAAATCCAGTTGCCTTTTGCTGCTCAAGGCCAACCTAGCAACCGTGGAAAAAAATTAGGCGTTCTGAGCATTTGTCCTAGGATGTCATTGGCGGGTGGTGATGCGCAGTTTCAGGACCATTATGGTCCACAAAGGGTTTGCTCATTTGAATGGCTGACTAATTTAGATTTAATATTTTGGTGCTTGCTCCTTATCCTTATTCCCAATTATATCCAGCCAGTGCCCAGAGATGTATTTAAGACCGTGATTGGATAAACTGCTTAGCATAACTTTTAGATCCATGGCTTATTAAATCAAATGTGCTTTAGTTGATTCTCTTTGCATCAGGACATTTTCACACCTGAGTGGAAAGTCCTGGCTGTTTCTTCCAATTAATATTTTAAACCTATCTTATCATTTGATTTCAGGGATGGCGTTATATTCATTCTAGAATGTAAAGGCCTGTTAAGAAATAGGATGAAGTTTTACAATTTGGGGATGCTGCATGAGCTTATGGAGGGGTGATGTCCGTGTTGGAATTGAGGATGGAGGAAGAAGATAAATGGCAGTAAAGCTGGAGTCCTCTGGAAAGCTAAAAGGCAAGGGAAAGGGAGCAGACCGGTCTTCTCTGCTGGAGTCATTACCAGCCTCAGCACCGTCTTCAAGAAAGCCCAAATGTGATATGCTAACTATCATTCCAAAAGCACAGAGGTAGAGAGGATTATGGTCGGCACAGTAGAACCGACTCCTTTCACTCTGCTGCTCACTCAAGGATCCAAAAAAGCACATGTAATTTTGTTTTCTCTGCTTACTTAACTTCATCACCATTGTTATCAGCATGGTTGTAAGCTCGGCTGATACCTCCACGTTTGCCACTTTGAAATCTTGATTTAGAGAGAACTAGCCCTGACTGTTGTGCTATTTGCTTAGGGTTGGGTTTGTTTTTTCCCCTTCTCCTCATTCAAAGAACACATTATTAAAAACAGATTTCAGACCTTACAATTTATAAACAGCAATTCCTGTATCTTTGGACAAACATTTAAAAACTTTATTCATTCAACACATATATATTGAGTATCTGTTCTTTAGTTGAGGTTCTTCTGGGCATTGGGGATCCAGTGGTAACCAAGACAAAGATCTTGGAGCTTACGTTCTGATGGAAGAGAAAGTTGATAAAGCAATAAATTAAGATAAGTGCAATAAAGATAAATAGAGCAGGGCAAGGGAGAAAGACAGGGTAGTGGCTATTTTATTTTATTTTATTGGTTTTTAAATTAATTTTTATTTTAGAAGTAAAATATGTGCATTCACTGGGATATTGGGACAACTACACTGAACATTCTACCTTCTAACCTCTGTTTTCACATACCATTTCATGAACATTTCCCCAGGACATGAACTATTCTACAGCTTCTTTTTTAATGGGTTGGATGCATAGAGTTCCATCGTATGCATATAGCAAAGTGCATTTAACCAAATCTTTACTCTTGGAAAATTAGGTCAGTCCTAATTTTTTGTTATTGTTGTAAAGAATGATATGGTGAATATCCTTATGTGTAAATTTGTGCACCTATCTGGTTCTTTTCTTTTTTTTTTTAAAGATTTTATTTATTTACTTGAGAGAGAGAATGAGAGAGAGAGAGAGAGAGCACATGAGAGGGGGGAGGGTCACAGGGAGAAGCAGACTCCCTGCTCAGCAGGATGTGGGACTCGATCCCGGGACTCCAGGATCATGACCTGAGCCGAAGGCAGTTGCTTAACCAGCTGAGCCACCCAGGCACCCTATCTGGTTATTTTCTTATAAATTTCTCAAAATGGAATGTCTTGGTCAAAGGATGAAAACCATTTAAAGAATTTTCATACATACTGATAAATTTCCATTCTAATTACGTACTCTCTCCAGCTGTGAATGAGAGTGCCTGATTCCCTGACTTGAACAATGCTATTATTTTTTCAAAATTCTTTGCCAATTTGATAGGCAAGAAATGGTATCTTATTTTAAATTTTTGAATTTTTCTGATTAATAGGGAGGATAAACACGTTCTCCGAGGTGTATTTGTCATTTTCCCCTCTTTTTTACAATTTGCTTTTCCATGTAGGAATTTAATGTAAGTTCCATAAAGTTAGGCAACTTTTTTGGTATGTTCTGTTTACTGCTATATCCTTAGCACCCAGCTGGAACACCAGGAGGATTTTACTCGCATTTTTTTGAATGAGTATATTTTCTAACTGGGTGTTAATCATTTAAAACATTTGATTTGCAAAATATGCAAATGAAATGATATGAATTCTTCATCTGGCAAATAAATTACCTAACTTGGGCAATGGCTATTTTAGATACAATGCTCAAGAGAAACTTTTGCGAAGAGGTGCCATTTGAACAAAGACCTGGATAAAGTGAGGAAGTGAACACTGCAATGTTCTGGGAGAAGAGTGTTTCAGAAGGAACGACTGCTACAAAGTCCCCAAGGTAAGACCAAGATCGGCATATTTAGAAGCAGCAAAGATAGCCAGAGCAAAATAAATAAACACGAAATTGGACGGGAAATAGGGTGGAGATACAAACAGTGGCTGGATTATGGAGGACCTTGAGGTCACACTTAGGTCATTAGACTTCATTCTGAATGTCCTGGAGTACCACAGAAGTTTCAAGGCAGAGGAAGTGACATTTTCTGACTTTTCTTTCTAAAAGGTATCTCTGGCTGCTGGATGGAGGATATTGGGTTGAAGCTGGGGATGGGGATATGGAAGAGTGAAAACAGGAAGATGCATTAGAAAACTTTGCAAAATATATATGAGAAATATAAATATCTTGGGCAAAGCTGCTAGCGGTTGACATGGTGAGAAGTGTCAAGATTCAGGATACATTTTGAAGGAAGAAAGACCTGATAGGATTGGTTGGTGAATTTGGATGAGAAATGTAGGGAAAGAAAGAGTCAAGGATGCTCTTGGCTCTCAGTCTGAGCAAGTGGATACATACTAATGCTATATATCAAATGGGGTAGCCTGGGGAGGAGCAGGTTGGAAGGCAAACCTGTATTAATCAGCTCAGGTTGCCATAACAAAATACTAAGACTGGGCTTAAACTTAACAAAACTTCTAGAGGCTGGGAAGTCTAAGATCAAAGTGCCAACTGATTCCGTTTCTGGAGACAGTCCTCTTCCTGGCTCAGAGATGGCTGTCTTCTCGCTGTGTCCTCACATGGTGGAGAGAGAAGACAAGCATTCTAGTGTCTCTTAAAAGGGCACTAATGCCATCAGACCAGGGCCCCACCCTCATGGTGTCATCTAACCATAGTTACCTCCAAAAAGGCCTTCTCCAAACATTATCGGACTGGGGTTTAGGGGTTCAGTGTATTAATTTCATGGGGAGGGATGTAAGCATTTAATCCCCAAAAAGGAGGTATGGTTTTGGCCATTTTTCTGCTTTTCTTTACTGCAGATGTAGACATCTCTATCAATCATCCAAGTGATGATGAGCAGACAGACACATGAGTGTAGACCTCAGGGAGGGTTTGAAGACAGAGATAAAAATTGGGAAGGCATCCAGCATTTAGATTTTAAATCACAAAAGAGATGAAAACACCTAGAGAGTTGAAGGCAAAGAAAAAATGTTAAGGACTGGGACTTCCTTTAGAAATGAAAAAATTGTCAGATTCAGCAAAGGACTCTAAGAAGGAGAGGTCTCTGAGGTACCAGCAATGCTAACGGAACACAGTATCTCAGAAACCAAAGAAAGAACATGTTTCAAGAAAGGGAGACAGCTTAACTGTGTCAAATTCTGTTGGTTAGTCAAGTAAGATGAAAATGAAGAACCAACCATTGGGTTTAGCTGGATGGAGAATTCTAGGGATCCCAACAAGAATGGCTTCTGTGGAGCAATGGAGAAAACAGAGTGAATGGAGTGGGTTAGGGATGAAAGGAAGTGAAGAGGTGGATATGGAAAGTGTAGACGTAGAGCCTTTTGAAGGTTTTACTGCAAACCCAAACAAAGTAACGGGACAACAGGTAGAGGGGATGTGTGGTTTAGAGAGAAGTATTTTATTAATGGGAGATATTACAGTCCATATGTATGTTGATGGGAACCATTGAGTAGAAAAGTAGAAACTTAAGATACAAGCGAAAGGTAGGATAACTGTAGAAGTGAAATCCTGGAAAGGTCCGGAAGAAATGGGATCCTTGCGCAAGTAAAGAGGTCAGCCTTCCATGGGATCAGGTTTCCCAGTGTAAAGGAAGAGAAAGCAGGGTACATGGAGGCAGATTTTGCAGCGGGAAGATGAAGTGATTCTCTTCTGCTTTCTCAAGTTTGAAAGTAAGAGGCAAGATCATGAGCTGGGAGTGAAGAGGAGGGGGAAGTGTTAACAGTTGGAGGGCAAAGGAAAGAGTGTCAGTGTGAACGTGTTAGCTTGGAAAATAGAAGAATAGGGGCGCCTGGGTGGCTCAGTCCTTAAGCGTCTGCCTTCGGCTCAAGTCATGATCTCAGAGTCCTGGGATCCAGCCCCACATCAGGCTCCCCGCTCGGTCAGAAGCCTGCTTCTCCCTCTCCCACTCCCCTTGCTTGTGTTCCCTCTCTCCCTGTGTCTCTCTCTGTCAAATAAATAAATAAAATCTTAAAAAAAAAAAAAGAAAGAAAGAAAGAAAATAGAAGAATAAATGACTAGGTCAATGTAGTAGGATTCTTGAAGGCCTATTTAAGGCCAGTGAATGTAAATCTAAGTTTCAACCAGTGAGCATTTCTCTATTAAAATGAAGTCAGCCAGTATGTTTTCCCAGCCACCACTCCTGTTTGGTGGGGGCGGCAAGTAGGTGGAGTTGGACTTGAAGAGGATGAGGGTTTTGCCTGGTGAATAAGAGAGAAGTAGAGAGAAAAGATTTTTAAAAAAATCACTTCCAGTTGTCTTTTGATAAAACCAATTTCGCTCACAGAAACCCATTGTGTCCGGTGGTACGTAGGCGTTCAACTTTTCTTTTCATCGTGCCATAACTAAAAACTCAACAGCTGAAAAATAGCTTTCCCAACATAAGCACTATAATTTCTTCTATCTCTCACTTAGTTAATTCAAGTTGAGGACTCTATTTTTTAAATTCTTTTTACCAGTTTTTCTTACATAATACATAACAGCATAAGTTGTAGAGAAATAATTATGGATGTTATTAACATTGGTACTTTTGAGTTTCAAAACAACCTATTATAAGAATGTTCAGAAAAATATGCTATTCGTACAAGGAGGTTTATTTTAAATGATTCAGATTATATTTAGTGCATGCATAGAACTCCATAATTCCATGAAACCACAAGTAAATTCAGTTTTATTGAGAGGCACGATAAAGATAGCAATTCAAATACCAATCAAACAAATCCAAGAAAAAAAAATGCATATACAGTCCAATCAAGATATAAAAAGTAGAGATCTTAGTCCATTTGAAATGTGGCCTTTTGGTCTCGCCCCTTTTTTAAAAAAAATTCTGCCCTTCTATCTCCTGTAGAGAGGAGTCATGATGCAAACTGGAAACATACAAATAAAGAATTGAATACTGTAGAAATACAGAAAACAAGTGGGTGTCACAATTGGAGCTTAGGCAACTTCAGATATCCTCTTCTCTTCTGGCCTGGTTGGAATATGGTGGTATTTAAGCATTACCTAGAGATCCTAAGACTTAAGTGAAAGTTTTTTGTTTGGGTTTTTTAATAGGAAAAGCAAAGAGATTATAAATGCAGAAGACCTGATAAGGGGTTTTTTTTGCTGGATGGATGTGGAGTCCTTCTCAGGAGGTCCCTTTGAGTTCTTAGCGCTGTAACTCCATGTCGAGGCCTAAAATTCAGGAAACTGGCTTGCTCTAGGCTCTTAGCTTAAAAAGGAGAGTGAAGAAGAAAACTCTACAATTCCTCTCTTCATTGTCTAACTAGTTCACAAGAGCAGGAATGGCAACTAAAATTCAGGATGGATACCTTATTCAGAATTAAGAAGTAGGCATTCAGTAGAAGCATCCGTCCCATATGTCTTCTCATTAACTTGATTTTGCATACATAGGGGTATAAGACTAAGAATGAACCCCAACCCTAGGCTTATTGGACAGGATTGAAAGAAGAGGTGGGAAATAAGGGGAAAGAGTACTAAAGCATGGTCTCTAAGACTTTCTGTTTTAAGTCTCATATAACTTGTCTGCTTATTTATTATCAGTAGTTCTTAACTTTGGGGGGGGTAGGACTGGTCATGGATTCCTTTGAGAATCTAATGAAAGCTGTGGTAAACACACACACACACACACAAAATTTTATATACATACATACAATTTTGAAAAGAAAGTTCATGCACCCAAGATAAGGAATCCCTGCATTATATGATCTTAAAAATGTAAGCAGCCAGTAAGATATTTATGGTGTGAAGTTCTGACTTTGATGTAGGGGTGTAATGGTGCCTTGGGCATGTGTTTTTTGTAAAACACTTGGATTCTCTTCCTTAATTTGAAAGATTTACATGTGGAAGCAGGAAAATTAGAAGCACCATTATCTGAAAAGTTAATAGCATGGTAAACAAATACCATCAGAAACATTCCCAAATATGTTTAAGGCCTAACAATCACCCTCCTTGCCTCAGTCCCATATCATGCTATAGAATCTTTTTTCCTGAAACAGATTGTGTAATGATTCTGGGTAATCAAGATCCAGTCTACAAATCCAAAATTACAGTGTGTCTGTCAAATGCTTCAGAAGATAATGTTTTGAAATCTCCAAAATACAGTTAAAAGAACTGTTTTCTCCAGTAAAATATACCTATTCAAGTCCTGTAAACTGGGCATTAATTCTAAGCTGTGATGCTCAGAAAGCTCTAACTCTGTGATATACATCTCTCTTATATATGTCTAGGTGAACACCCATTTTCCACAAACATAGAGCACCTACAAAATTGTACTTCTTTATTCATGGCCCACTGGGGCTTTCCTGTGCATCAGATTTTAAATAGCAATAGGGCAAAAGGCAAAAAGAATAATCAGATCAAGGTAGATAATCCATGAATCCAATCAAAACAAAGGTAACAACAGAGCCTTTCTCAACCAGCTTGAATGAATTTGCATCCCCTCATCTTTATTTCCTCCTCCCTATCCCACTCAAATAAGTGTGTCGCACTCCACCCTGTTCTGCCTACGCCCCAGTCACACACAGACACACACGCACACACAGAGGCTGAAAGTTCAATGGTGGTGTTTTAACCTCAAACTACAAAAGAAGATAATATTACAGCTCTTCTCACATGTCACACTACTTCAAATAAGAGGATTTAAATGATAAAATTCCAGATGTTTAAAAAAGGAAACATTTAGCTTATGCTTTCAAATGTTTCTTATCCTCTAAAAATAGCTTCCCCAAACCATTTCAATTTGGCCATTCATATGTTCTGCTTCCTTTTGTACAACATATGACAGAAACAGGTCTGAAACTTGAGCCCTATGAATACTTTTTTTGTGTTTTTAATTGTGTGTTTTTAAAGAAATCTTGACTACATTTCATATTTAATATGAAAAAAAAAAAAGGTTATGGTTTCCTTAAATCTGGGCTGGGTTTGTATAAGAGAGAATCCAAGAATCAGTAAGCACTCAGGATTCCCTTCATTTCTCAAATGTGAATGTCATCAGCGGTGAAGGAAGACAAAGTGATTTAAATGTTAGCCC